GTTTTTTTCACCCTTTACCCTTTCTTTTTCACCCTCGACCCTTTCTTGTCAACCCTCCGCCGGCGAAGCAGGTAACCCCTGGAACCTGCGCAGAGAACGATGTCACCTCCGGTTAGTTTCACGCCGCGTATGTGCAGCCGCAAAGCCCGTAGTTGTCACCTCCAAAACTTCTTGGGACCAACCCTTCGGAACCCTCCGGAAACTGCGCAGAGACTATCCGGAACGACGCGAACCGGCGGAAACTGCGCCGGGACGCGAGGCAGCCCAGCATCCATCCATGCATCCATCCACCAACGGAGTGCCCACCAACCGACCAACCAACGAAGAAACAACGCGGCCAAGCAAAGAAACCAAACAAGCAACCAACGAACCAAGCAACCAAACAACATAATATCTCATCATAACTCTGTGCATTGCCCAGTCCTTGGCGGGGGAGGATTGGTCTGCATTGCGGGGGAGGCGTTGCGCCCTCCCCAGTGACACAGCATCCATCCATCCCTCCCTCCCTCCCTCCCTCCCATCCATCCATCCACCCATCCATCCATCCATCCATCCATCCATCCTTCCATGCGTCCATGTACCCATGCATCCATGCATCCATGCATCCACCAACACAGTGGCAACCAACTACAACAACGCGGCCAAACCAAGAAACCCGCCAGCAACCTACAACCAAGCAAGCAAAACCGCGTGGACGCCGCCGCAACATGAGGCCGGAATGTGCTGGAACCGGACGTGGAAGCGGAGCCGGTTACAGACGCGGAGGTCGAAAGCTTGGAGTGCGCCGGTGGTGATGGAAGGATCCCCGAAGATGGTATAAAGAAACGAAAAAACCTAAGATGGGATTCAAAACGTCCCAGAGGTCCAGAACGGGCCAGTCAACAGCTTCTGGGTACAAGTGGGCCCATACAGGCAGAGGCTCCAGTGGTGCACAACTGAGGTGTCGATGTGGGAGTGGACTTCGAGCAGGCGTGCGGGGGGGTGGCAATACTGCAGCACATGGTTGGAGACCGTTGTACGGACCCAGGACTGATGCGGAGCAGGGAGCAGCGATAGGAAGTGTTGGCTCGAAGAGAGGTTGTGCAGGACATAGCCGACATGGTAGAAGTAAAGCCAGTGCTGACGGAAACACGAGAAGCAGGACCAGGAGGTTTAGTATAGTATAAACTAGAGTTGTTACCGAATATATGCTGAAAGAAGATATATATACGCAAACCAAAACAGCACAGGGTGGGAGACCAGGAGACAGACAGGGCAACCTACACAAGCTTGTGGCAAGCCGCCGAACGCGTGCTGGGGGAGCGAGGAGACCCAGGCATGTACACCTTCCATGAGAGGAACTTGAAGAGGGAGGGCAAAAGCGCGCTAGGGATTTGCAACAAGAGCGCTTGTAGTGGATGCACGAAACAAGTGAAAGCAAGTGTATGTTTTGCTGAGAAAGGCCCCCTTCTTTGCATAGAGGAGAAAGGTTGCCATGGAAAATTACAGCCGCCAAGCGGTGGGAGACTATGGACATGCGCAGAGGCATGGGCATTGAGCGGGCTGGATGCAAAGCGGCCCAGGGTTACGTCCAAAGATGTGCGGGACGCGCTGCAGGCACACCAGCTGCAAGTGCGCTGTACCAACACGCAGCTGCACAACTTTGTGGTGCGTTTCAATCGCACGGGCCCTCCCCAGAGCGGCAAGGGCAACCTAACCTTGAGCCAGGTGCGCAACGCGGCCATGGACTACATGTGCGAGAGCATGGAGGCATGGGCAACGTGGAACCCATGGCGACTAGTGGTTCTACCATGTCCAACCTTTGAGGTGGACAGGATCTGCGTCGTGTGGACTTGCCCGGGCATGCTGCGACGCGCTGCTTGTCTGCAAGGGAAGGTGGTGAAGCTGGCCGTGGACGCCAAGCAGAAAATCGTGGCCAATGAATATGGGATCGTGACAGTCTCATTTTTGGTGAGCAGCGCGACGCCGAGCAAAACCTGGGCAGGGACCAAGCACACAAAGTCTATTGACACGCACACTGCCACACAAGAACCCTTCATCCAAGCGTTGGTGAATTCGGAGTCAGAGGCCAATAATATGACGCAGATCTTCACGGAGGCATGCAACCTTGCAGAGCGATATTGCGGCCTAGATCTACGTGCGCAAGTTTGGCAAGTGCACAAGGACTACGCCAAGGGGATCGAAGCGTCCCGGCGCAAAGTCTTTCCGTATGCCCGCCCATGTGACGACTATGTGCATATGCGCCGGGCCTCCTACAAAATTCTCCAGAAGTATTTGCCGACGAAAACACAGAGGCCGAGGTCAGGGCTGCAGGCGAAGGTAAAGAGGGCACTTGGAAACCGTACGGGTCAGGGTGTTTTGTAGGGACGAAAAAAAACGCGAAGCAAAGCGCAGAGATTCTTGTAGCACGTGCGCTTCCGCAGGACCAGCAAAGACAAAGCAAAGAAGCGCGCGTCGCCAAGTCCAGCGAGGGCAAGCACCATGGCGGCGAAAGAGGAGGAAGACTTCAGCCAACTGGAGAGGGTTATCCAAATCAGCCGGGAGGTTCCGACGGTGCAAATGTTCGATGCCATTTGGCAGCTGGCTTTTCCGTGGCTGCGGGAGAAAAGCGCAGCGGCCGCAGAGTACTTGCAGCGGACCTACTTTCAGCAGGTGCCCACCGAGAGCCTGCAGAAAGGCTTTCGCTGCAATGCGACACTTTGGGGCGCTGACAGCTTGTGGTTTGGCGGCTTCTGGGGCGGAATTCTGGGAACGTATCCAGGCAGCAGCTCTGGAACACAGCCGCTGGAATCATTTCACTCCTACTGGCAAGGCACTATCAAAGCCAAAGCAAGGACATCGCCAGCAGACAGATTTGGCAGCATGCAAGACCTTTTCCAAAAGGATTGGGCAGCACGATTTGCGTGGGACGAAGAGAAGAAGTTCGTGACATGGCCCGCACGCTCGGCAGATGCACTGTTCAATAGCCAAAGTCTACGCTCGGCGGGTAGATCCCCAGCTAGGGATTTCTGGGAACACCGTGAAAAGCGGCTTTGTGGGAACCGCAACTACCGCGAAGTGTACATCCGCACAGGTGACACAGAGGGTGCTGGGATGGAAGGGATGACCACGTTCTGGGTGCTGCAAAGCAGAGCCCACGACAAAGTCACAGCAGCGGAAGCGATTGTGCTGCCCGATGTGGCGGAGACGGTTGCCAACCTCATCGCGGCAGAGGGCACGCAGTTAGAGAAGTGGCTGGCGAAGGGAGGTATTGTCAGGGAGGGGCGGCTAGAATTGGGAGCGTTGCAGAAATACATGCACAGGTATTGCGCAGTCTTGGAGGGGCACTTGGTCCAAGTGTCATGGCCCCGCAGCCACCGCAAGCTGAAGAAAGCGGTCCCTGGCAAGCTGTGCACCTGCCGGGAATTCTTGCTGCACGCTGACTGCGAGCACGTGCTCTTCATCAAGGCGTTGCAGAACGATCCCACAGCTAGCATGCAGAACATCCCGACGCTGAGGCCGCGAGGTCGCAAGCGCAAGGGCCAGTGATACAGCGTGCCCGCCATAACCACAGACCACAGAAAAGCAGCGTAGGGGAGCGAATGTGTCTTTTCTGACCTGTGTCTACATGTAGAATAGGGTTGGACGAGATCTTGTACGGATGGAATGTGAGATGAATCTAGCTGATGTCTGAGCCAGGTGCCGCGGCGCTAAGGAGGCCGGTGGAACGGAGTGAGGGGAAGTCTGTGCCCTGTCAGTTGCGAGCGTGAATGTGTGTGTATATTATATATATACATTTATATATGTATATATATATGGGGCCGCCAGAATCATACTGCTAGCTGGGCCAGGAGCTGTGGTGCCAGATGTGTGGGTGTGCGTGTGTGCGTGGTATGTGAGGCCAGAATGTTGCTGCTAGCTGGGCCAGCACTGTGGTGCCAGAGAGGCGAAGGCCCGCCGGTGGGCATGGTGAAAAGGGCTGAAAACGGAATAGACTATACAAGCACAAAAAACCAAGTTTCAGATCCATCCATCCATCCATCCATCCATCCACCAAGCACACAAACAGGAAAACATGTATGTCCATCAAGCACTGTATCACGCAAGCAATCACGGCAAGCCAACCAACAAACCAACGCGCCAAAAAGTAACATTCTTCTCCCTGTCCATGATGCATCCATCACTGTATGTATTTTCTCCAAACCCAAGCAGCCAACAAGCCAAGCAGGGCGAACCAACCAACACATCAACCAAAATAAGTGGGGTAAAAAAGAAAGGGTAGCAACCAAACTCTAGTTTCCCCAAATGCTGTCGATACTTGCTTTGCGTTGGCAGCCCACCAAGCAACCAACAAACCAAGCAACCAAAGCCACACCACCCTGTGTTTTCCCCAAAGGCTGTCGATATTTGGTTTGCAGCCAACCAACCAACACACCAAGCAAAGGAAGGAGGGTGAAAAAGAAAGGGTCGAGGGTCAAAACAGAAAGGGTAGAGGGTGAAAAAAAAGGTTCGAGGGTGAAAAAAAAGGTTCAGAGGGTGAAAAAGAAAGGTGGAGGGTGGAAAAAAAAGGGTGGGGTGAAAAAAAAAGGGTTGAAGGGTGAAAAAAAAAGGTTGCCCTTTTCTAAAGCCAGAGTACATCAACATGCTGTGCTTGTAAACTTTGGAAAGGGAGAATAATGTTTGTTTGGATTCTGACAGAGTTTTATCCTGCAGAGAGTGGTTGGGCAACCCCACGATCTGACGTCCTCTTTGTTTTCATTGGGGGCTCGACTGTAGACTGTAGATTCATGAAATTGTTGATGCTTGGACCACATTGTGTTTGTGCATGTTTGGGCCACTTGTAGAGTATACCTCCATGAATCAACAAATTGTTCGCATCACCCCAACATGTTGTTTCATGTTGTTGTTGTTGTTGTTGTTGTTGTTGTTGTTGTTTTCTTTTTTCTCATGATGGTAGCGTGCTTATATGATTTCCTCTCCCCGGTTTGTTTCCCCCAAACCGTCCAAATCAGACTCGAAGTCAGTTCCGCCCAGGAGACCGTCACGTCGTTCCGCCGCACATCGCCCAGCGGCGTGTTGTTCGCAGCAGCCGAGGTTTTGGCAGCAGCTCGGGCGTGATGATGGAGGGCGGTGCTACCTGGCTAGAAGGCCGGGTCGAGGTCAGAAAAATGGAGGGATGGTCGTGGGGACGGGATCGTTTCACCAAGACGATCAGCTGGTCTTTGGGGTGTGATCCGTCTTTCCAAAAAAGAGAGCGATCAATGTGTTTTCACCAAAACAAGACATTTTCACCCATTGGAGTCATGTTTCCCAATCGCTTTTGGGGGTTCGGTTTCTTTTGGTGTTCGATCTGGAGGGATGAAACCGAGCAGCCCTGCAGAATCGGCTTTGATTCGGGTCAAACGACTCGAGTTCGGAGCCAAATCTGCAAGTCGACTTGGATCGCATTGACAACTTCATGGAGGAGTACCGCCATAAAGACACTGCTCTTGTCTTGGTGACACACACAAGAAGAAACAGCTCAGCGCCGTGTTGAAATTCTGGTCACAGATGAAGGCTTGGAACGGGGAGCCAGCTTGTCAGCACAAGTTTTTATCCGTTGCCTTCTGCAACAGTAGAACCCATCTGCAGCGCCAGCTGACGCATTGGATTCAGCCCACGATTTCCGGCAGTTCTGGCTAAGAGCAGCTGGAAAGATGTCGGCAACCTCCTGAAGATTGTTCGATGATGGTTGCCAATCAAGCACATGTGCGGTGTGCAGCTGAAGACGCACTGATCCGCCCCATTCACGCTCCTGCGTTCCCCGGCACCATGGGTTTGTGAGGAACCCACGGCAGGGGAATGCTCATAGACGCCACGGGGATCCACCGGGGTAGGTTCCAGAAACAAGATGTTTCTTCAGTTTCATCCTATATCATCCAGTGGTTTGTTGAGTTTCGTCCTTCACCAGGAAGACGCATCGCCTGCTCAAGGAAGTGGGGCCAAGAAACCTTGCTTCAGCATCCTACTTGCTTCAACACCAAGTATACAGATGTATACAGTATTCCTGACAAATGTTTTGTTCAAGCCCAAGTTTCACCCAGTTGCAGGTGGGTTCCAGCACTTCCATCTTCCACTTCTTCATGCATTATAGATCCCCAAAGATTCCCAAACAGATAGACATTTAATATTGAAATTATATAGATCCCTGCTAAGAATATGTTGGAAAGTGCTTAACTATCTATTTCAGGGACCACGATAGGCGAACTTCCAGTGGACAACGGGTGCAACACGGTCCTCCCGCGGTAAAGCACAACACGGTCCTCTCCGCGGGGTTCGGTGGATCGGTCCTACACACCACATCCACCAAAGCTGCAACGCACCCAGAACAGAACATGAAAATTCTTCAAGAGAAGTCTGGAAGAGATCTTCCGACTGCTTCGGTGTTGTCTGGCCTCCGCCGGCCTCCGCCCTTGGGCAGGGAACCTCTTGAACTTGGCGCCGCGGCCCATGATCTACGCATGGGGCTTTCGCGACTGGAGCGGTGGATCCGTCCGGGTACGTCGAGTCGTTCGGAAGGTCGGGGATCATGGTGGCTTTGCAGGACACCTTGGCCGAAAAGGCTTTATAAAGATGTTCAACCAGGCTGTAAATGACATTCAAAGTGTGGGAGCAGTCAGAGTTTGCTTCTCGTGAAGTGCAAAGTGAGTCTTGAGGGTGTAATGAACAATAAGTACTTCATCTGAGGCAGGATCAAAGCATGGAAAATCCGATATTGATGACCTATGGTCCTGGTCCTGGGAGTGCTGCAACCTCTCTCCACTGCATTTGGGAGTTCTGCATTTCTTTTGTGTTTTTTGAGGAATGGACTTCTTGAGGGATAGCCACATGACATTGTGAACGGCCGCTTCAGGAGTTTCAATCAACAATGATGGTTGGCAACAGAATCTTTGTTTCTTTTGAAACAGGTTGAAACCATCTCCAAACTCCATCTCCAAGAAGTAAACATCTCTAAACCATCCCTAAACCTCTGAGAACCTCCTCCTCCTCCGGGACCCCTCCCTCCCCACCTTTGGGACTCCTCCCTCCATTCCTTCCAGGAATCGCATCAATGCGGCACACATCTACGCGCAGAGCAAGAAGACCAACGCGCGGAAGCGGGGGAGCTCGGTCCAACCGTCCCCCACGGTGGAGCTCGGGGTGCTTCGTCGCTTGGGGTCGACCGAGGGGTCGCCGCTGAAGGTCGGTTTGTTGAAGGTAAGGCGCAGGCTGAGTGGTAGAGTCGAAGTTATCATGGGACGTAGCCTATCCAGAAAAGGTGGAGAACCTTGAACATCCCTGTATTCTTTTTTGGGGTCGGGGGGAGTAGTTATTAGGAACACACCAGACACACCGTACTAACTATATAATGACAGATGCCAGTTGCCCTCACCCTGGTTCTCTCGACCTTAGCATTCGATCCAGCGTCTTCGATGCGAAGCTCCTTGGCTTGTGGTAAGAACCGATGGATAAACATTCACCAAATTTTTCCCCGGGAAACTGAGGGAGTCGCTATGGCTTTGAAGCCGACGATAGACTCCCTCCCCAAGAGTTGGTTGTCCTGCAGAGTCGTACTTATCTCCTCGGCCGATCCAGACAGTGCTGGGTCCATCCCGGGTCTACCTGTTGGCCCAGTCGACAGCAAGCGACTGAGCAGCTCACGAAGTTAACTGACAAACAATTGGTGTGACAATGAAGACATGGCCGGTAGAGGATACTGTAGTATGTTAAACGTTCATGTTGCTTTGCTTATGCTCGCTTCATATTGGAACAGGGGCTGTTTATAGATGCGCCATGACGCCTTTCTTTCCTGCCCTACGAGGTTCTACCAGATCCATGCCATGCTTTTGACCTACTTGTCCCAGGACATGTTCCGGATAGGATGGGTGGTTTAGACGGTCCCAAGTCTTGGAAGGACAATCTAGTTTACAATCTATGTTCCAAATTGCAAGAAATTTGCTTTGAATCGCCTTGGAGGAGCAACACACACTATAGGCCTAGTAGGCTGTCGTTGCAAGAGGGAGTTGCTATGAATACGAGGCGTGTTTACGCAGATGTTCCGTGTAATTAGTTCCCGACCAAAACAATGGGGGTACAGTGCTTGGATTTCCAGACAGTGAATCACAACGTGGTGGATTGGGATTGGCGGGATTGCGCCTTTCGGACCAATGTCCACCCACGTCCACGTCATGTGCCAGGTCAATCTGGGGGACCCTATTGGAACCCTGACCCTCAGAAAGATCATTACAGACATCGAAACTCTTTGTTTGGGTGTCCTGCCATCTTGGAACCACAGTCGAGTCCTTAGAGCCCCGGAATCCACAGATCCAATTACGATGTCTCCTCCATATTCATATGATTTTGTGTGGCAAAACCACAGTTTCAATGGCACAGTCGTTGACCATAGGTACACACACATACATACTCGGATACTCTCTTCTGGGATTTCCCTGGTGACCTACAGGTAAGGGTAATCTCCCTGTGCCACTCAGCGACTCACCCGTGCCGTCCACAACTTCCAGAAAACAGGAGGCACTCCTCGGAGATCGTGGCAGCAGCGCGCTGCAGAACTATGAGACATTTAGCGAGGTCGGGGCCGCGCAGCGGGGGCACCGGACCCGCCGATCGGTA